CGAGAACTCCTGTACTCGCATACATCGCACGCGTACGGTTTCTCTCCCGTGTGCGTGCGCGCGTGGATCTGGAGATTCGTCAGCTGAGAACTCCTGTACTCGCATACATCGCACGCGTACGGTTTCTCTCCCGTGTGCGTGCGCGCGTGGATCTGGAGATTCGTCAGCTGAGAACTCCTGTACTCGCATACATCGCACGCGTACGGTTTCTCTCCCGTGTGCGTGTGCGCGTGGTTCTGGAGATTCGTCAGCTGAGAACTCCTGTACTCGCATACATCGCACGCGTACGGTTTCTCTCCCGTGTGCGTGCGCGCGTGGATCTGGAGATTCGTCAGCTGAGAACTCCTGTACTCGCATACATCGCACGCGTACGGTTTCTCTCCCGTGTGCGTGCGCGCGTGGATCTGGAGATTCGTCAGCTGAGAACTCCTGTACTCGCATACATGGCACGCGTACGGTTTCTCTCCCGTGTGCGTGCGCGCGTGGATCTGGAGATTCGTCAGCTGAGAACTCCTGTACTCGCATACATCGCACGCATACGGTTTCTCTCCCGTGTGCGTTCGCATGTGCCTTTTCAGGCTCTCGCGGTAGCAAGTCCTGTACTCGCACGCGTCGCACGCGTAAGGTTTCTCGCCCGTGTGCGTGAGAAAGTGCTTCTTGAGGTGCCCGCAGCATTTGTAGGCGGAGCCGCATATGTCGCACACGTACGGTTTCTCTCCCGTGTGCGTTCGCATATGCTTGTTCAGGTTGTAGCGGTAGCAAGTCCTGTACTCGCACACGTCACACGCGTAAGGTTTCTCCGCCGCTTCGCTCTGCATGTCTGAGCGAGGAGGAGCAGGAGACAGAGGAGGAGAAAAAGGAGCAAGAGGAGGAGGAGGCGGAAGAGAAGGAGCAGGAGAAGAAAACGGAGGAGGGGCAGAAGAAGCAGGAGCAGGAGAAGGAGGACGAGGAAGAGGAGAAGGAGCAGGAGGAAGAGAAGGAGAAGAAAAAGAAGCAGAAGGAAGAGGAGAAGGTTCCATCGAGCGGGCGGTGATCGAGATCACGATTTCGCCCCGATGCAGTTTCCTCTCCCACTTTCCTCCCCGATGCAAGTTCCTCTCTCAGTCGTCCGCTTTCCTGCAGACAAAAAATAAAGACCCCGGATAACTTCCCCTGCCTCACAAAGAGATGAAGTCAGATTCGTTTGCTGCGGGCATGTCACTAAAAATCACGAGTTATACTTAATAGGACAGGACTACACAAAGAAGAGTGAACTTTTCCAAATTTTAGTGTGTCACAGGTTTTTCAGAGTATAGATACACGTGGACTCGATAAAGTCACGTGACCAAATCACCACGGCAACGGCAATATTACGCCCCGACATTTCTAAAGTCAATCACTATAGTGATTTGTTGATTGAAATATCTACAGGAAGTGAGAGACTATATATAAGCAAGAGGTATCTATAGGCAAATTTACACATATTGCATGCATATGGCTTCTCTCCTGTATGAGTGCGCATGTGTCTACGGAGATTACCTAGTTCAGAGCTCATGTACCCACAGATATCGCACACATATGGCTTCTCTCCTGTGTGAGTGCGCATGTGTTGCTTGAGACTACTAGAGGTAGTACATCTGTATTTACACATATTGCATGCATATGGCTTCTCTCCTGTATGAGTGTGCATGTGTTGCTTGAGACTACTAGAGGCAGTACATCTGTATTTACACATATTGCATGCGTATGGCTTCTCTCCTGTATGAGTGTGCATGTGTTGCTTGAGACTACTAGAGGCAGTACATCTGTATTTACACATATTGCATGCATATGGCTTCTCTCCTGTATGAGTGCGCATGTGTTGCTTGAGACTACTAGAGGTAGTACACCTGTATTTACAGATATCGCACACATGTGGCTTCTCTCCTGTGTGAGTGCGCATGTGTTGCTTGAGATGACTAGAGGCAGTACATCTGTATTTACACATATTGCACGCATATGGCTTCTCTCCTGTATGAGTACGCATGTGTGTATGGAGATTACCTGCTTCAGAGCTCATGTACCCACCAATATCGCATACATATAGCTTCTCTCCTGTATGAGTGCACATGTGTTGCTTGAGACTACTAGAGGCAGTACATCTGTATTTACAGATATCGCATACATATAGCTTCTCTCCTGTATGAGTGCACATGTGTTGCTTGAGACTACTAGAGGCAGTACATCTGTATTTACAGATATCGCACACATATGGCTTTTCTCCTGTGTGAGTGTGCATGTGTGACTGGAGATCATTGGTGGTAGTACACTTGTATTCACATGCATCACATTCGTAGGGTTTATCTCCTTCAGGGTGTTGCATATGTGCTTGGGAAGAATCCATCTTATGAAATGCATCCACTTGGATTCTGAAATGATTTTGAATAAATATCAAAATGCATCCACTTGGATTCTCCCGAATGAAAGCTAGCTCTTGTGTGTGTGTAGTTAGCTTTCCTGTAAGAAATGATTTTGAATAAATATCAAAATGGATTATAAGTGCAAAACGTGTGTAATATAAGATGTGATAAAATGCAAAGAAAGAAACCAAGGACTTTACAAGCATAATTTTGAGCAACTTCATGACATAATCAGTTTAACAAGACAAGATTGACTGCTCACAAATAGATCTGTTAATAAGCAGGGGTAGAAATTAACTTTTAAACAAGGGAGTCCAACGGACTCCCTGCCCTCAAAGAGTGAGTCCGCTGCAAAATGAGGGAGTCAGTAGTCTGAAGTTCAAAATTAAAGATTTGCTGAAAAAATACGGCAATTCTGTGAGGCCGTGCTCTGGAACGAACTAGTTAGTATAGCAGAATTTTCAGGGAGTCACACGGCTCCTGCATATGTCAAATCAGGGAGTCCGACATTAAATCAGGGAGTATTTGACTCCGGATTCGCGTTAATTTTGCACCCTGATAAGGATATCTAATTCTAACCGATTGTTCCTCGTTGGCCAACTGTAGTGCAGATCTGGGGTGGTAGACTAAGATGATATGTGCCCTCTGTCATTCCCGTGCTACAAATGCAAAATGTTAAATATTGTAATTATTTATGTTAGTTGTATTATGTACTATATATAGTATAGCTGGGCTACCCGGCGATGCACGGGATAAAGGAGAAAAGAGCTAGAATTTAGTCTGCCATCCCAGCTGTACTGATCCATCCCTCTCCCTTCCTTTCCCTTTTTACCCTTTCCGTCCCCCTCCCTTTTTTTTGCATTTTTTTTTGGCCTAAAATGGTCGTCGCGTCATGCTGATTCAGAATATATATGGTGTTGTGGGTGACCTCTTACGGGTCTTGAGAAGATAGACGGACAGACAGACAGACAGACAGATAGACAGACAGACAGACGGATCCGGCCATTTATG